TAAAGGAAAAAAAAAAAAAAAAAAAACAAAGAAAAACGGCGCTGTTTTCCCTCCGTTCCGCCGTCAGCGAACGCGTGGAAAATGTGGTTGCGTGCGATGAGAAAATCCGTTCAGGCGATGCAGCCGCCGGTACTACTGCCGTTCGGCCATAAACGTTCCAGCCGTTTTCTTTTATTGTCGAGACTGCCGTACAACGAGATACTGCTGCTACTGCTGCTGCTGCTGCTGCTGTATTCTACCAGGCAAAGAAAGAATTTCATTCTCGGCGCGATCCGTACGATAAGCCGGTGGCTCTAACTCTCTCTCTTGTGCACGCGCACGGTGATCGGCGGCGACCCGATCTTCACTTTAAGGCCGGTTAAAGGCAACTAAACTATTCGGCTCGTGCGCCTTCCATCTTCCGCGGGCATGCCCACCGCTACGGGACCACGGCGCCCAGGGCCGTGCCACGCCGCGTCGCGCCCCACTCCACCGTCCGCACGCCAGCTTCGAGCTGGAATATTTAGCAGCCGAGTCGTATCGCTCGATAATCGCGTCGCTACTTAAGGACACAGTCGGAGCGCTCCCATTCTATCTTTCACGGCCGACCCGTGTACCCGTGTCGATACTATACGCTACTACTCCGCCAATAATTACCTTATCAATGCGTACGCTCGCGGTTATGATTGATGTGTCGTGATACGATAACGATGATCGGTGTGTGCTCGCAAAGTTCGATGCAAATTTTTTTTCTTTTTTCCCTCCTTTTCTCTCCTCGCGGCTTTTTTGCTGGCTCTTTTCTCGGCGCGGGGTGATGATTAATCGCGGGTAGTTTGTTCGCTCCGAGACCGTGGCATTGTTTTAGCTCGCTCCTTGTAGCGGTTTTACCGTTAATTCCTTGTTTATTTATTTCCCAGGTGAGAAGTGAATATCGAGTTTCTCAGAATTTTTACTTTCTTCTTTTCCATGCTTTTTCTTCGTGCCGGTTCGTCATTAATCGTGAATAGTTTGCTTTTTAGTTCGAGGGCCAGGATTTTGTTGCGGTTTTGCCGAGAATTTATTGGGTATTTATTTCGTAGAATAGGATATCGAATTTTCACCGAATTTTTGTAAATAATGTATAAACACGGTTGAAACGCGTGTTTTAATTAACTCTGACGTTACCAGCCTGTGGTATGCATCTAGTTACGTGTAACGAAACACTTCGATTTTAATAGAATTATAATTAGAATGGAATTAGAATCGGACGTTCCTATTTCAATATTGTATTGTAGGATTTTGTAACGATGTTACAGTGAATTTATCGTGCATTTATTTCCTAGGGGAGAATATTTAATTTTCAGTGAAATTTTGTAAATAAAATATAAACACTGTCAAAACATGTGTTTTAATTAATTCTGATAATGTCCACCTGTGTTATACACCTAGTTACAACGAAACATTTCAATTCTAATAGCAGGTTAATTTATTATAATCCGGTGTTTCTATTTTAATAGAAAATTAATATTTTAAAAAGTTAGGTCGAGGATTTTGTAACGATTTTATTACAAATTCATCGTACATTTATTTCCTAGGGGAGAATATCGAATTTTCACCAAAATTTTGTAAATAAAATATAAACACTGTCAAAACATGTATTTTAATTAACTCTAATACTGTTCACCTGTGTTATACACCTAGTTACCTGTAACAAAACATTTTAATTTTAATAGAAGATTAATTTATTATAACCAAACATTTCTATTTCAATAGAAAATTAATATTTCTAAAAGCTAGGTCGAGGATTTTGTAATGATCTGACTCTGAGTTTATTGTATATTTATTTTCTAAGTGAGACTATCCAATTCTTGCCGAAATTTTGTAAATAAAATATAAACACTGTCAAATCGTGTGTTTTAATTAACTCTAATACTGTCCACCTGTGTTATACACCTAGTTACCTCTAACAAAACATTTTAATTTTAATAGAAGATTAATTTATTATAACCAAACATTTCTATTTCAATAGAAAATTAATATTTCCAAAAGCTAGGTCGAGGATTTTGTAATGATCTGACTCTGAGTTTATTGTATATTTATTTTCTAAGTGAGACTATCCAATTCTCGCCGAAATTTTGTAAATAAAATATAAACACTGTCAAATCGTGTGTTTTAATTATTTCTAACACCATCAGCCTGTGTTATACCTCTAGTTATCTATAACGAATCCTTTTAATTTTAATTTTAATTTATTATAATCCGACATTTTCATTTCAGTAAAAAATGAATATTTCCAAAATCCAGTTGCTTGTCTCCCTTAATCGAAGGCAGAAAAGAAACTCCACCTGTTTCGTACTTGCATTTGCCAATGTAACAATTTTTACTGTTAAATTACCCGCTAATTAATAAAACGCTGTTTGTATTTAAACTGTCGAATGCAAGATGTTTTCGAATTCTTCGAAGCCTAACTTGCATATGCATAACCGGCGATATATTCGTAACGACTGAAATTTATAGCCCGTATACACGCAAGTTCATTGACACACTGTACAACGTGGCCATCTGCAGTCGATTCCAAGATAGAGCGATCATTGTTTCTGACGACCGAATACCGATCACCGTTTACCCCACGCTCACGTTAGACAGGTAGCGTTCTTTTGTACCACGTAGCAGCTGCTCGACTCGTGTAGTTGAGAGAATATGTTATGGTTTGATGTACGCCGTCTCGCATGAGTTTGTCATGGGAGAAATGTGGAGGCCACATGTGGAGCAAGCTTGTGGTTGGCAACCTGTCGGAACCTGTACGGATTTAATACTACAACCAGTCGTGTAATATTAAGGATACTACACTGGCGACGCTCCCACAGTTATTATTCTTCCTAACGACCGCCATGCCCTAGACGAATCTAACCACGAATCCTCTTCTGTCTTATCGAGGAGACCCTTCGACTATGCTCTCGCGAGATTTCCAGTATTTCCTCGATTTTTCTGGCTGCGAATAATTAACTTGGGAAATACTTGAGAATTTGCCTGGAAGATTCGTGCTTCCGGGTTTGTGCGTGGCTTTGGTGCTGATGTAGGAAGCTTCTTTAAAATTCGTACTATTTCTGGTATTCAATCGACTTTTTCGTGGTAAATTAATAATTGGAAAATTTATAAGTAGGTTTAGAAATACATGGGTCGTATAGTCCTCGTTTTGTGTTATAAAGCAGGAATTTTTTAATATTCTTTTCTCTTTTTATTTCGGTTATTAATTCGGTCTTTTTTTGAGACGAAGAAATAGAAAGTGTCAAATTAAATTTGTAATATGGATGTGTTTCTGAGCTTCTATATTTTGGCCTATAAGAGAAGCTTTGACCTCTCTATACTGCTATTATTCCCAATATTTGATTTTACTTATTGCAAAGAAGAAAGAAAATAGTCAAAAGTGTGAAATAAATCTTGTTTACTTGTATGATTCCTAATATTTAGTGACAAACAAATAATCAGGAAATGTGGAATAAATCTGCAAAATCTATTACTGCCAGATTTATTTTATATGTCACGTGAATAATTCTCGTCTATTATTCTGAAAAAGGAACCTTTTCTCTTCTGCTCGTCATTATTTTTAATACCTAATCGATCCTTCTCGTTGCAAGAAATAATCAAAAAATGTGAGAATAAATTTGCAATATCTATTTCATATATCACATAGATAATTCTCGTCTTTTATTCCGAAAAAGAACCTTTTCTCTCCTCCCCTCTCATTATTTTTAATACCTAATTGATCCTTCCTGTTGCAAGAAATAATAAAAAGATGTGAAAATAAATTTGCAAAATTTATTCTGTATATCATATACATAATTCTCGTTTCTTTTCTGAAGAAGACACCTTTCTCTCCTAGTCTCCTATTATTTTTAATACCTAATCGATCTTTCCTGTTGCATGAAATAAAAAATTGTGAAAATAAATCTGCAAGATCCATTTTACACGTCACATTGATATTTCTCGTCTATTATTCTGAAAAAAGAACCATTCTTCTTTTACTCGTCATTATTTTTAATACCTAATCGATCCTGCTTGTAGGAAAAAATGAATGGGGAAGTGTAAAAATAAATCTGCGAGATGCACATTTCCGGGCCTGCATGCATACAGTTTGGTAACAACTTCCTCTCGGCGTCTCGTTTCCAAGGCAACTGAAACAATCATATTCCTGTTATTTCACGTTACGACGCTATTCGCCGCGTTTTTAAACCTTACGTAACGACGCGGAGTTTGTTGAAAAAGTAACGGGGAAGCACTGTCTCGATAATATCGTCACTTATACATTGATATTAAACGCTACTCTCCATTTTGATTATCCGAAGGCTGTACGACGAGAAATGGGACGCATTCTGCAATTAAGAACATAATTTCCTACACTTTTTTCACTATTATATTATATTTTCGTGATATGGACGGTTTATTTTGAAAGTGGTGTAAGTCCATTTCTTTAAAAAATGAGATATCACGTAATTTATGCTTAATTTAGTGTAAACTTTTTATTTACAACTAGTTAGTATTTAATATCTTAGAAATTGCCAATGCTTTGTCTAATTTAAAATTGGCTGATAAAAGCAATTGTGTAACCATTGATTATGAAATGTGTGTAAGTCTAATTTCTATAGACAGATGGCGGGATC